GTGGTCAATGCCATGAGACAAAGTATATGTGAACTGCTGTATGGAAAGTGAATTTGCTCTGTAAATCTTCACCCAAATCACAATAAAAAAAAAAAAATTAAAAAATCAAAATAAAAAAAAGATTATGAGAAAAAGACAATATTTTACTAAAATATAAAATAAACACACTTTACGTTTTTGTGAAAGCATTTGAAGAAGCATAATAGTAAGTGATTTGTCATTGTCATTGTTAGCTACCATTGAGCCAGTGGACCTCGATTTCCCATTAACCTGTGAAAAATAACCTGAACTCCTCATGCAGGGTGTTTCCTCTATTATTAGTACTGTAGTACTACTGTTATCGCTACTGAGGAGTCCAGTTAGTGCCGTACTGAGGAAGAGTTGGGAACTGATGGAGTATAAACTAAGTCATAAGGACTCAAAGCATAAGTGAGCGATGCAGAAAGATGGACAGCAAATGAGGGCTACTCTTTCTGTAATTTTAGCATCCAAGGAAAGGAGAAATGAGATAATACTTAGGGGTCATCAGAGTCAAGATCTTTCTGTTTTTTTAGGTGGAGCTGTGTTGTTCTTGTTAGGTGCCATTGAGTTGGTTTCAACTCAGCAAGCCCACGTGACAAAGTAAAACTCACTGCCGTGGAGTCGGACCCGACTCATAGCGACCCCTCCTTGGGTTTCCGAGGGGGTATCACCAGGGAAGTAGATCGCCCGACCTTCCTTCCGAGGAGTGGCTGGTGGATTTGAACTGCCAGCCTTCTGGTTAGCAGTCAGGTGCCTTAAGCACTGCACCACCAGAGCTCTTGAGAAAGCAGAACCGCCCTGTCAATTTTCCAGGCCAGCAGAAGCAGAGAGCCAGGTCTTTCTGTTGCAGAGCTGCTGGGTGGAATTAAACCGCCAAACCTTTCTCTTAGCAGCTGAGCACTTAACTATTTGCACCACCAGATAACTGAGCTTATTTATGGGAATAAAAAAGGAATCCAGGGAGAGGAATAAAATGAAGATACAACAAAACCCGTTTTTGTCAAGTAGATTCTGGCCCTATAAGAACAGAGTACAACTGCTCCACAGGGTTTCCTAAGGTGTAATCTTTATGGAAGTTGACTGCCACATTTTTTTCCCACAGAGTGACTAGTGGGTTTAAACTGGCAGTGTTCCTGGTTAGCAGGTGAGCATTTAACCACTGTACCACCAGGGCTCCTTAATGCAAAAAATGAACATTGTCATTGAGTTGATTCCAACTCATAGTGACCCTATAGGACAGACTAGAACTGCCCCATAGGGTTTCCAAGGCTGTAATCTTTACACCTCAGCATAAAGAAAATAAAAATTCTTACAACTGGACAAATAAACAATATTATGATAAACAGAGAAAGTATACAAGTTGTCAAGGATTTAATTTCACTTGGATCTACAATCAATACCCATGAAAGCAGGAGTCAGGAAATCAAAGGGCGTATAGCATTGGGCAAATCTGCTGCAAAAGACCTCTTTAAAATGTTAAAAAGCAAAGATTTACTTTGAAGTCTAAGGTGTGCCTGAACCAAGCCATAGTATTTTTAACTGCGTCATATGCATGCAAAAGCTGGACAATGGATAAGGAAGACTAAAGAAAAATTGATGCCTTTGAATTATAGTGTTGGTGAAGAATATTGTATCTACCATGGACTGCCAAGAAAGAACAAATCTGTCTTGGAAGACGTACAGCCAGAATGTTCCTTAGAAGCAAGGGTGGCAAAACTATTTTATGTACTTTGGACATGTTATCAGGAGGGACCAGTCCCTGGAGAAGGACATCATACTTGGTGAAGTAGAGAGTCAGTAAGAAAGAGGAAGACCCTCAATGAGATGGACTGACATAGTAGCTGCAACAATGGGCTCAACCATAGTAACAATTGTAAGGATGGTGCAGAACCAGGCAGTATTTGTTCTGTTCTGCATAGGGTCACTATGAGTTGGAACTGACTCACTCCCACCTAACAGCAACAACAATCTTTACAGAAGCAGACTGCCACATCTTTCTCCCACAGAGCAGCTGGTGAGTTTAAACCACCAACCTTTTGGTTAGCAGCTGAGTGCTTAACCACTGTGCCATCAGAGCTCCTTTTACATGCAATAAAAGAGGCAATAATTGACAGAGAAACACCTTTAAGACTGAGAAGGGAATGGAGGAGGCATACATACAGCAACTTGATTTATTCGTTTTGTTTTGGCTTTACAGAAAAAACTATCTTAATGATCTAGTGCTGCTATAACAGATCACAAGTGGATGGCTTCATAAAAACAGAAATTTATTCTCTCACAGTTTAGGAGGCTAGAGGTCCAATTTCATGGCACCAGCTCTTGTGGATGTTTTTTTTCTCTCTGTTGGATCTGGGGCAAGGTCTTTGCCTTCTTTCAACATCTGTGGGCTTGGTGCTCTTTAGAGATCTATATATGTCTTGTCATTGATTTTCCCCTGGGTCTAGAAGGTTCTCAGAATTGGAACTCCAGTTCCAAAGGATATACTCCACTTCCAGCTCTTCTTTCTTGGTGGTAGTCAGCTCTCTCTGCTCACTTTTTCTCCTTTTTATCTTTTGAAAGATAAAAAGTGATGCAAGCCACCCCAGGAAAACTCCCCTTACATGAGATCAGGGCTGTGACCTGAGTAAGGGTGTTGCAAGCTACCCGATCACCTTACAACTGATGGGTTGATCACATCAGATTATACCTTAGGGGGATGATGACATCATTACATAACTGCCAAACTACTGAAAATCAAGACTCAGCCACGTTGACACAAATTTTGGGGGACACAATTAAATCCATGACAAAAAGATTTCCAGGTGATTCTTATGGGTAGCCAGGATTGAGCCCATCTCCTCACCTGGTGACTTATAGTCAGGTAGGCTGCACTGCCTGCTGATCCTCCCCTTGACTATTTGCTGCTGTCTCTAGGAAATTTCTGAACAGCTCAGAAAGGGATGATATCCCTTCCTCTAAACCTGATGCAAGGACCCCTGACAGCACAGTGGTTAAGTACTCAGCTGCTGACTGAAAGGTTAGTGGTTGAAACCCACCAGCTACTCCATGGGACAAAGATGTGGCAGTCTGATTCCATAAAGATTATAGCTTCCTAGAGAAATGAGAGCTGTGATACAAACAGATAAATGCACACCCATGTTCATCGCAGTACTGTTCACAATAGCAAAAGATGGAAACAACCTAAATGCCCTTCAGTGGAGGAATGGATCAACAAACTATGATACATACACACAATGGAATATTAACAAACATTAAGAAACAATGATGAATCTGTGAAACATCTCATAACATGGATGAACTTAGAGGCCATTATGCTAAGTGAAGTTAGTCAATTCCAAAAAGACAAATACTGTATGAGATCATGATTATAATAAGTCAAGAAAAGATTTTCACATAAAAAGAAATATTCTTTAATGGTTTCTAGGGGTTGTGGTGGAGATTACAGCTTTGGAAACCCTATAGTACAGTTTTACTCTTTCCTATAGGGTTACTATGAATTGGAATTGACTTGTCAGCAATGGGTTTGTTTGTAAGTCTGATGCTCTTGGTTCACTTGCCTTTGACAGAATTAGCAAATCCAAACACCAGCCAGTGAAAATACCACAGATCACAACAGTCCAATCTGCAGCCAATAGTGAGGATGATGCAGGAATGCATGGGGTTTAATTCCATTGGGCAAGAGGTTGCCATGAGTCAAGGGCTGACAATGATAGCCATGAATCTTGTTCAGGCCAAGCCTGTTCTTTGGCTCTAATATCCCTTTCTCCTTTATCTTTAAGAGCTGATTCTTCACGCACATAGCTAGAACAGTGATGGAGACATGGAGAGAGGAGACCATGATAACACAGATACTATTATCTTTCCAGAGTTGAAGAAAGTTCCAAACAACATCCCACCAGATATTGTTAAACTTGACTTGTCATGTAATAAAATCCACCAACTTCGACCCAAGGAGTTTGAAGATGTTCATGAGCTGAAGAAATTAAATCTCAGCAGCAATGGCATTGAATTCATAGATCCTGGTAAGTTGCACTGAATAGGGCCCTACAGGTGACTAGTGTTCCCTGACTTTTCCTACAGCAATACTTACAATAAATATAGCTTAGTTCTTTTCTTTTGTTTTTTAAAGTAAAAAAACAAAAAAGTATGAATTTTAGTTAAAATTAACTTTTAACTGAACTTTTTGTCACTCAGGTATTTTCTAAAATGTTGTTTTATGAAGCACCATATATAATTCCATATATTACAATTAAAAAAAAAAGTGTTGCCGTTGAGTTGATTAGACTCATAGATACCCCTCCTTGGGTTTCCCAGATGGTATCTCTACAGAAGTAGATTGCCCAATCTTCCTTCTGAGGAGTACCTGGTGGATTTGAACCAGCAGTGTTCTGGTTAGGAGTCAAATAGGCCCAAATAATTAAACTCTTTCTCAGAACTGTTGAAGAGAATAAGGTTATGTGGCTAGTGGTCAATAATACTCTAATTTTTAAAGGGAAATTCAGATTTGGCGTTTTCTATGTCATTCACTAAACCCTGATTTGCTTAAAGTAAATTTGATACAATCACTAAGCACCAAGCTCATAAATTAAGATAAAAAATGCTCAAAGCACAACCAGACATATGTAATCTAATCCTGGCTCAAGATCAAATCTCTTTTCCAAATCCCTCCATTTGCCAATTAGAGCCTCTGGCAAAGATGAGCTTGGTAAATTAAATAAACACACTATATTTGGAAAGAACTGAGCATTAACTGTAATATTGATCTGGTTTTTTATGACATATTTCACCATTTGTGCTTTTACAATGATATTCCAATTTGAAAAGATCCAATCTATAAAAATGGTTGTTAATACTATTAATATTCAATGCTACTGTCATAAACATTTTAAGTAACTTATTTCTTCTGCTTTCCTTATTAGTAATTTGGGAACCATTAATATCACACAAGGATTTTAGCATTATAGAAGAGAATATTGAAATGAAAGTTCTAGAGTGACAAAGGTATATTTTAGTATTAATAATATTTTTAAAAAATTATTAGGAAAGCATGGTTTTATAAATTCCCCAAGGGGATGACAATATGGTACACATTTACTTAGCCACTATGCTACCAGAGCTCCTCCTAGTCTGGACAGATAGTATATACTTGGGAGTATCTTTCAATTGTGCCAGAATACATATGGTTTAACTAATAACTACAAAACTTTCAAAATAAAATCTAGGAATGTTTACATACGCTTCCAATCTGAAGGGCTGACTTGTTTTAAGCAAATTAAATTCACTGGGATGTGAACACTGCTTTTTCAGACACCCTTCCCACAAATGAAACAACCAACATATTAGTGTGCAGGTCTCACTGGTAACCAACCTCCACAAATCCAGGCCCGGGTGAAAAATGTGCAGGTGCAACTGGAGACCCTCTCCTGCTCCCAAAGAGCTGTAGGAAATCTTTGTTATGACTCGGGTCCCTGATGCTGTATTCCAAAACTATAGTGTACTATAAGAAGTATCAGTATACGTTTTACAGCTATCCGTAAATGACACTAGCGTACTAGTTATTATATAGCCTAAGTTAAAATGCATTTATTAAAGTAGTGATTTGTAGTGCAACAGTGTTTTCATTATAATGGAACTATGATATGTGAAGAAAACTATAGAAAAAATGAGAGAAAATGCAGAAAGATTAAATAATAGCATAAAATGGATTTGTTTTACATTTGGTGATGTTTTCACATCATCAGTTATGGATTTCCCATAGTTGCTAAGATTCCTCCATGATCTTCCATCCTTGGGATCTCCTGAAGACATTTCAGTCTTGCACCAATATGTTTTCTTTATTGACACCCAATGTGTGTTCTCAGTTTTCAGCCCACCTAATTACTGTCCTATTGACCATTGCTGTTAATTCCAACTCATAGTGACCCTACAGCACAGAGTAGAACTGCCCTATGGAGTTTCTAAGGCTGTAAATCTTTACAGAAGCAGACTGCCATATCTTTCTCCTACAGAGCAGCTGGTGGGTTTCAGCTGCCAATCTTTTGGTTAACAGCTGAGTGCTTAACCATTGCACTATCAGGACACTTCAGTCCCAGGAAAGTGTCATCTACTTTAGCAATTATGTATTGAGCACTTACCAAATGCCAAGAACAGTGCTTGGTGCTGCCTTCTGGAACAAAAAACATCTCAGGGCTTACTAAGGCAAAATAACCTAAAGGAGAATTAAAAGACCTATATTTCAGAGACTTTGAGATGAAGCACTGCCAAAGCAGGCTTACTTCAGTGATTTATGTTGGTAGTTATACAAATGCAATGAGAATGCCAGTATTTAGAAGGTGCGAATGACAATCAAGTAAAATGCCAGACATTATT